AACACCTGAACCTGCATCCTGATGCAAACGGTTGATCCTGTTACTAAAATACTCCAAATTCTCTCTCTCTTCCTCTCTCTATTTCTCTCTCTCTCTCCCTCTCTCTCTCTCTCCATTTTCTCCTTCACCACCAGCCTGAGACCAACCTTCACCCCAAATAGTAATGAAAATATTAGTAAAAGGAAAACAAGGCAGAGCACAGAGCAGGACAAGATGGAAAAGATGCCAGAGTTTGAGATGGGGTGGAGAAGAAGAAATGAACCTTCGGTCCTTGGAGCAGAACTGGAAGGCAGACTGCTTTCAGATGAAACCTTTGCTCCTTTTAGTCCTGTGAAAGAGCTACTTAAAGCATCACAGTCAAGAAAGGGGAAATTTGGATTGTACCACCTTGGCATTTCATTTTCAATTTTAACTGCAGGTGTGAGAAATACAGACTGGGTTTGCAAAACGCAGTTAGCCAGGTCTGTTAAAGACTTAAAAGACTGCATGTCCGTGTTTGATAACTCAGGGTATTCCTTGAAGTAACCAGTCAAAGAGTTGGATTGGTTGTATTTGTGCAGTCTTTCGTTTGCCTTTCACCATGTTATTTTCAGCTCCTTTGGGATACTCCGACTTTAGCCCAAAGAGAAGGTTTAGTTGAACATTAAGTTACACTCCAAGGTACAGTAGGAAGTAATGCTGCCATAGTGAGTAGCAGAACCTTCAGTATAAAAGCAAGGGCATCAAACTTTCTATTTCAAAACTATATGGGGAGTACAAGCTTCCAGCATCCTTTAGGGAGGGAATTAAAATGGGCTGATGAGTTAGAAACATTGGAGAAAGGGCATCAGAGCACATAGGGGAATAGGGTAAGAGTGGAATCTTTTGAGTCCCTGGAACATGGCAGGATGGGGAGAGAGATATAAAATAGTTCTTTGTTTTTTTTTTACAAGAGAGAATCATTTAATTTTGCAGAAAAGACATTAACAGGAGACTGCAGAAGGCACGGGTGACCTGTTTCCTATTGTTTAATTCAGTAGCAAGCAAGGTTTTTAATTTCATGCCTTCCCATCCCCACATCCCCCATCCCCACCCCTAGATTTCTGGGTTGACAGAATGGGAATATTCCATTTTGCAACAGGGAGTAGGTGGTTAGAGGTTGAAAGTAAAACAGTGGATGATACTCATGCCATCATTTGTTACAAAAGACAGGTAACATTATTAATAGTAACTTTCATTTCTCACTCTTTTTCCTTTGCCTTAGAACTGACTTTACACAACCCTGTCATTAACTGGTTACTGCTTCCTAGACACCAATACAAATTCCCTGCCTTTTTTTTTCAGAGTTACTTATCTTACATTCATCTTGAGGTGGTCCACCAGGCCCATAAATGGGATTTCCTGTAACTAAGGCCTTAAAAATTGAGCGAGTGGGGGGAGAGAAGAAGAAAGGGAGAAGGTAGTTGTGATAATTTACTAATAGAAGGAAGAGGCTGTTGTGATAATTTACTAATAGATCCATTACAGATTTGTCCTTTCTTATTATTGATTTTGTAATATGTGGCGAAAGATTTATCTATTTCTTATTTTTGTGCTACTTTTCAACTGTAGCACCAGGACAATTTACAACAACAAAAAGAATACACATATACAAAAGAAATAATGTATATTATAAATAATAATAAACATTACAAGTAACTTATTATGACAGGAATAATAACTACTTGAGGAACCATCTCACACTGATGGGATTTTTTTTTTCTTTTTAATTTGATTTATATGCCGCCCTTCTCCGGAGACTCAGGGCGGCTTACAATGCATTAAGCAATAGCCTTCATACTTTTGTATATTTATACAAAGTCAGCTTATTGCCCCCACAAACCGGGTCCTCAATTTACCTACCTTAGAAAGGATGGAAGGCTGAGTCAACCTTGAGCCTGGGGAGATTCGAACTTGCAGTAATTGCAGGCAGCTGAATGTTAATAACAGTGCTTTAGTCTTCTGAGCCACCAGGGATTGATCAATCAAGGAATTTTGGCTGGCCGAGTCCATGAGAAGAGCCTTTTCTGCCATGGCTCCTGTCCTTTGAAATATTTTACTCCCTGAGGTGAGATTGGCTTCCACCCTCCTGATTTTTCATAAGAGCCTTAAGACCAGATGGTTTGAGGATCCAAAGGAGGAGCTTCGTAGTCGAGGTGGTTAACTAATTAAAAGCTAATCCCATCCCCCCCCACCTATGTGTCTAGCTCCCTCCTTTGCCATCTTGTGTTAATAATTTTATCTGATGTGTTATTTTATAATTGATGATTTTAATGTTTTTTAATGCCCAGAGCTATTGGATACGAGATAGGCGGCAAAACTCGTAACAAATAAATACAAAATAAAAACTGAAGCAACCAATGGAATTAAAGGTAAAGGTTCCCCACGCACATATGTGCTAGTCGTTTCTGACTCTAGGGGGCAGTGCTCATCTCCGTTTTAAAGCCAGAGAGTCAGAAGACGTCTCTGTGGTCATGTGGCCGGCATGACTAAACGCCAAAGGCGCACGGAACGCTGTTACCTTCCCACCAAAGGTGGTCCCTATTTTTCTACTTGCGTTTTTTACGTGCTTTCGAACTGCTAGGTTGGCAGAAGCTGGGACAAGTAACGGGAGCTTACCCCGTTATGCAGCACTAGGGATTCAAACCGCTGAACTGCCGACCTTTCGATCGACAAGCTCAGGGTTTTAGCCACTGAGTCACCGCGTCTGCATAAAAAGACCTGCATAGAATAGGAGGAACAATGGGAAGGACACAGGTGAAATCCTCTGGGAGAGCATTCCGTAAATAGGATTATGAGAAAACCTGTTCCCTGAACATCTGTATCTTTCCGTTTATGATGCACCCAAATGTTGCTGAAACTTCAGTTGAGAAATAATCCTTCTGCCATTTTCAGCTTGGAGTAGGGGAAAGAAGTACAGGGAATCATCCCATGATTGTAGATTTATCCTACAAATGATGGTGTGGGCACTGAAGGTGATAAATTTTGTACAGATGTGCATAGCATCTGATGAATCAGAAGCATTAACTTTCTTGCTAGGAAATGGGCAACATTATCCAAAAGATTTTATCTTTACACAGGATCAAGATTATAGACGCAGGTAGTTTTAAAAAGAAAACACAGAAAGGAATGAATTACATACCAGAGAAGAGGCCTTAAAAAAGCAAAAAGAAAGAACAAGGAATCCCTGAGAGTTAACATTGATGGTGAAGCAAAGGGGAATTGAGAAGATAAGGAGGATAAAGAAAGAATTGTAGATAATTACCTTCAAGACAATTCTGGAAAAAAAAATGCAGGGCAAGGAGAAGACATGCCAACTTTTGAAGGAATCCATTACACAGGTCAAAACTCATAAAGACATAGGCTCTTTTGTACTGACATTGGTCCATCAAGAGTAACTGGAGCAGTGCTCCAAGATTTCAGATTAGAGTTTTGCTTGTAATATCTGAGGGTGCCAGGGATTCTTGACCTCTGCCCCTCCCCCATCTCATGTAACCATCAGTTTATCTTGTTCCCTGCCATCTTCTCAGGTCAGTCTTTAATCAAGTCGACAATAAATATATGCAGGGAGCAGGTAAACTGAATCACAGATCAGAATTGAAGACTATTCATCTTAGCATAGGTTTCCTTGCTTTGGCCTAAATTACATGGGAGTAGGGAGATGTGGATTGCAGTACTGCCTGCTTACCCCCTTTGCATAAAAGGCTGGTAAGGGGAAATGGTGGTTTATATTTGGACCAGGAAATTGAATGAGGGAAAGGGTTTAATTCTTTATTCTACAGCTATGCCCACCCCATCTTTATTCAATTTGCTGTTAGTTATAGAGAAGGAAAGACATTCCAAATGACTACTTCTCTATCTTTCTCTGTCTTCCATAATAGTCCCAACAGATTGGGGAAGAGAATGATTTGAATTCAGGTACCAGAATGTGGGAGGAGGATTAATCCTCTTCAGTTTCTTTTAAACAAAGAAAAAGGATGCTAGAAGATCTTATTCCCCTTTTCCCATAAGCGATCCCGTCTGGCCCTTGGCCTACCCAGCAAAATTATCATGTTGCTTTTATGCAATCAGTTCTTATCTAACAGGGAGACTTACCTGTTTGTAAAGATCAGTTAATATAATGTTTCCAAATCAACATTTATTACTCTTAATGAATAGTAAAGCATTAATGTAGGTGCTTCTGTATCCTAATGATCTGTGTATTATAACAAAATAAAACCAGAGACGTCTGCCGTTGCTAAAATAAGGGTGTACTGGAAGAGTAAATGAAATTGATAGAATGGGTGATAAACATTTACAGGGTTTTGTTTTTTTTAATGGGAAAGGTGATTGCCAATATAGATCAGTGAACAAACACCAGTAAAATGTGTTCCTTCTGCTCTGGGATCCAATGCAAACCTCTCTCTCTCTCTCTCTCTCTCCCACTCCCTCTCTTCCGCTCCCTCTCTCTCTCTCTGTAGAACATGTTTTTTCTGTCTGTTTGATCCTGCTTTCAATCTTCTATTAACTATTAATAATTTACATTTGTGAGTCCAAATAAAGTTGTGCTAAATCTCCAAAGGGCTGGGAATTTTTTTGCATACGGACGAAGGAGGAAAAGGAGAGAAGGTACAAAATGAAATAATCTGACTTGTTCTCCAAAGCTTTCCTGATTTCAGGTGAAGTCTACAAAGAGCAACAGTCCAGTCTCACAACAGTTAAGCAACAAAAGCCTCTCCTATTACTTTGCAAAAGTTACATTGACTTGGGACCGAGTCCCTATAGCTTGATCTAACTGGAGGGCAGGATTTTATTTTATTTACATTGGTATTATGCTGGTATTTATACTACCCATGTGATTTTAAGGGAGAATTTCTGAATTGGACATAACTGTGTATCTATGTATTAATCAAATATTTGACAGTGCAAAAAACAAAAACCCTCTTTTATTTTTCTGTCTCCTCTCTCTCTCTCTCTCTCTCTCTGTCTCTTTGTTCTCACAGGGTGAAACATCTCAGTTTTCTTGGGCAGCGCTCCATGGTAAATTCAGGTCTCTCCTCACAACAGAACCCAGGGAAGATTTGTGACAGATGGGGGCGAAGTCACAAACTTGCAGCCGAAAGCAAAACGGGGAGAACTTTCCAGTATGTGTGTGTCCATATTTACCTGATCAGAGCGAAAGAGGAAAAGAGGCAGAGGAAGCTCAGCCTGGCTGCTTGTCATAGCTGACACAGAGCCATCTGCCACAAACCTGTGGCGGCTTCAGATCTCCGATCCCTGCCACCACTCCAGCTCAAATTAAATGCAGATTCCCGGAGACGTTACGATGGTTACACATGTCCTCGGCATCACAGGCAGGAGACTGAAAAAATAAATGTGGCCTGTTGTATAACTATGCTCATGTATCCCATATGTGGTGCCACATTGAATTTCCGGTGGAATTTGTTTGTATCCTTTGTACTGGATGACACGGAGCCTGCGTGCTTTCCCTTGGCCGACGTGATGGCAGCCAAGATTGCAACTTCAAACATTTGCTGCTCGGCCAGCTTTCTACCTAGACTGCCAGGTTATCCTTGCAGCCTCACTGTGTCCTCCAAGGGCCACAGGGTCTCGAAGGAGGACCCTGTTCCCTCTCCAACCCACCCACCCTGTCTAATTGGGCAGATCTCTAGGAGTTATGGAAAGGCGGAGGTTGCTTTTTTGCACTTCTTCCCACTATCTCTTCCTCCTCTTCTTCCCCTCCCCCCTTCCTCCTTTTGCAAATTAATGACTCCATGGCACTGGGGCTTTTAAGTGAAGGTATTAATAAGGGGGTCTGGCAGGTGATCCATGATTCCCAGAGTTGCATTTGCATTTAATTAATCTTAAAGAAAGCGGCAAGATAAACAGCTGTAATTCAAACTAGCATGGGAAATATGCTATAAGGTGCCATCTATCCAATGAAACGAAAGGTTGGAGACTTGTTTTATTTCTCTCAAGGCCGGTGAAGAGGCAGACATCAGAATTGTTCCATGGGGGCAAAATGCAGATATTTGTGGGGTGTCCGTCCCCCCCCCCCACCGTTATGGCCTGTTTTGTTATTAAGTAGAGGGGATGGGAATGAGAAATTGATACTCCAACTTGCAAGTGGGAGCTTTTCATTATAGATTGTACGTCTAACAATGATAGAGCAACTGCATTTGTTGATGTTAGAGGCTCCAAAATTTCAAATGTGCTACATTTTATTTTTAATAAAGTTTTTATTTAGCATATTCCAGTTATACATACATACATTTATCAATATATTTCAGATGTTTACAAAAGGTGATTACATGACTGCAACCATCCTAAAAACAGGCCAGTTACAAAGCATCCAAATTTTGATCGCCTGACCACGGGGAATGCTACAACAGTCATAAGTGTGAAAAATGGTTATAAGTCACTTCAGTGCCATTAAACAGGTACTAATCAAATGGTTCCAGGTTGAGGACTAGCTGTACTTCATTTCTACATTAAACCTCAGTTGCTGACCTGCATTTAGTCTGTGGCTAAATACAAAAGTTACAAGCATCAGATATACTGAAGTTAAAGTTGTGAGCATTCCTTGATTATGGATGGTAATGGTAACCTGTTTATAAGGATTATCCATCTTGTTAGAGCTATTGTACCAAACCAGGTACCTTATCTTCTGTCTGCCTCTTTTTCCATTTGTTTGTTTTTTTTTTAATTTTCCAAGTATCTGTGCCTTCTCCAATGACTCTTACCTTTTTATCTTATGTGTCCAAAATATTTAAGCTTTAACGACATCATTGGTGGTGTTCTTTCACCTTCAGTGAGATTCCATCTACCCATCAGGAAAGTGTCTGAGGTTGTTTAAGTTTCTCCCAGCAATATTAATTTTTACTTCTATATCTTCATCTAGCATTTTCCATAACACATTCTGCTTAAGATAAGTAAGTAAGAGGATGGTGTGCTCCTTCAGGCCAAATTAAATATGATGAAATTCTCTTGCTTTTTCCATTTTTCTGTTGGAATTTAGCAATGTGATCTGCAGTGCCCCAGAATGCAGCTTTAAACATCTGGTAGTTGAGGTTTGGAATGCAGGATACTTCCAGTCTCAGTACTTAAGTAATTCTGAAGATACTCTAGGAGAAGAGGGGCCAAATTTGTTATTCTCTTGCATATCGAATAAATAAATAAATAAATTAATTAATAGTAGTAGTAGTAGTAGTAGTAGTAGTAGAAAAGACAGCAGCAGACAGCAAATATCCCCTCTGCAAAGACACTGAAGAAACAGTGGATCACTTAGCTGCAAAAGAAAGTAGAATTAGAAGTAGAACAACTGTGGCAAAAGAAAGCAAACTTAGTACCAATAATGACCTTAGGTGCAATCCGAAACTATCTGGAGCCCCACTTGAACACCATCGGCATTGACAATATCTCCATCAGTCAATTTCAGAAGGTAGCTTTACTTGGAGCAGTTTACATCCTGCAAAAATAGCTTTTAACACTATCAAACATCAACATCTATTTACAACTGTGATGGGCAAGGCCCCATGTGGTCATAAATTAAGGACTCCCTGTAATAATAGGCATTTTGGGTGTAATCCCAAAACATCTGATTTATTTGAAACACTTTACATCTATCTTGTGATGATACCATCAAACAATAATATCTGCCTTTCCCAGGTCCTTAGGAAGAACTTGCTAAATGGATAAAAATGCCAAAACCAGTCTAAAGATCTGGCTGACTGTGCGACCAACTATAATAATTTACTGATTGTATTTATAGGTCATCTTAAAATAAAGGGCATCTTGCAGGATCAACGCATGTATAAAAATATTGTGATTAGTGCAATAATTATGATGCAGCTGAAAAACAATATGAAAACCAGTAATAAAATAGAAGAGCCATATATATTGAATAGGCTCCCATAATCATTAAAAGATATAGGGCAATATAAAAATACTTCCCATGAACATTTGAGAACGTGCCAGAGCGCCATTATTGCAGTGCCACTGCTAAAAAGGCCTTGTATTTCTTAACATCTGCCTGATCACATCTGAAAGGGATTCTGAGAAAACATTATTCAAAGAAGGTACAGGTAGAAAAAGGTGACCCTTTAAGTACCCAGCTTGTGATGGCCTTCTGAATTTTTTTTTAAAAAAATAGTATTTTGAATTGAGTCCAAGGTTAAACTGGGAACCGGTGAAAGTAGAAAAATAAATTATGTAATATAAGCAGTACAAGCTCAGATTTTTATGTACAGTAATTTTCAATGGCAATGCTGCATATAGCATGCTCCAGTCCAGTGGAATGGGACAACTCACCACAGCCAACCCAATGGAAATAAAATGTCAAAAAACCAGTAGCAGATAATATTTATCACATTTAGTTAAACCGTGAGGAATTCTCTGTGGTGAGTTGTCCTGCGGCGAGTAGGCTGCAGTGAGATGGCCGTGACAAAATGGCTGTGGCGAGTTGTTCTAGACCAGGGGCGGATTTCAAAATCCGTTGCTACCAGTTCAATCATGGGCACATGCGCATTCACAACACTTCTGCGCATGTGCAGAAGCGTCCGGTCAGGTGGGCGGAGCCTCCAGCCGCCGATGCTACCGGTTCTCCCAATCTGGGGCAAACTGGTAGCAGCCCACCACTGTTCTAGACCCCCAGTCCAAACAGACTTGGCAAAGCATGGGTCACTGAAACAGAGATACCACGACTGAGATAACTAATGTACAGAATGGGCATTCTGCTTCAGATTCATATGTTTCTATTAAAAGAACACCTCAAAATGCTAATGGCACTCACTTTTTGTAAGAATATATAGTTATTTCCAGCATTTGTCTTCACTGCCACTTCTGCAGATACTCATAGCTACCACTAAAGTTTTCAAAGTCACAATTTATTCTGTGCTTCCATTATAATTCAATGCTGTGATAGCTATGCCAGCTCTAAATATTTTCTTCTGTAGCTAAACTCAGATACTACCTCTTTCCTTTGAACATAGATGCTTTTCAAAATCTTGCTATATATTTCTGATTTTTAAAGCTGAAAGTATGCTAATGTTTTTTTTTTCCATAGCGGGTGGCCATGTGTTTTGTTGCTCTTCCATTTATTTTCTCTCACTGATTAGTGCTAGAATCTAAGGTTTGGAAATTTTTCAGGTATAGCAAAATTTGTTAATTTAGCACCATTTCTAATTCCAATCTCTTTACTTTCATGAACTTTGCTTTTCCGGTTTACAAAACAACAATAAAGTGATTGTCCCTTAGTGTAATCCTTAATTTTTGAGCGTCCAATCATGCTTAACCCCTCCACCCAAAGCTGTGTGGGGTGAAACAATGCTGCAAAATAACAGCTGGAAAATGGCAAACCTGTGACAGATTAAATTTGTTTTGCTAAAATATTTTAAATGCTTCAACATGGTAATCCAGACATTATCGTGAAATGAATTTTTTGCCTCTTGAGTTATGAACCTTTGCAAATAAGGTTTTATAATAGGAAAACTGTCAGTGCCTTAATTATAGGATAATAAATAGCAATGCTGTATTAACTTCTTATTTTTTTTTTCAAAAATGTGCCTAGCTATTGTTAGAAACTGATAATCACATGCTATAGAACATCTTGCATTTACAATGCACCCTTTCTTCATGTGGATCTTGGAGACATTCATGAGAAGATAGTTGAAGGTAACAGCGTTGAAGGTGCCATTGAATCCCTAAACAAACCAGTTTTGCACTTTATTGTGAAGAGAAAAATCAGTTCTACTATGAACTGTGAGTCAAAGGAAAAAAAATCTCAAGTCTCTTTTTGTTTTTTTTAAATATTTTTTTATTAAACATATTTCAACCTTAACACCACATCTCCTCTCATACAGTGTTCCAGTATCTGTATCACTCATATCGACATTGTTTCTAATTATATAGATTACTATTCTATATTATATAATCATTTAATTATCTACCTTTAAATTGTAACAATATTTACAAATATATACAATATTTTCCCATTTTGATATGACGTAATCTTTATGTAAGAACTTTATATCTGTTTTCTAACCAATTGTACCATATAGTAAATGATTACTAAAGCATATAATTACTTAAGATTCAAAATGGAGGAAGAAACAGTTAAAGAGACCATGATAATTTGGGCTAAAAATTTTGGTTATACCATGTTTCCCCGAAAATAAGACCCTATCTTATATTTTTTTTGAATCCTGAAATAAGCGCTTGGCCTTATTGCCATGCACTCAAAATCCCGATTGGGCTTATCATCAGGGAATGTCTTATTTTGCGGGAAACAGGGTAGTATTGAATTGGAACACTGGGAAAAATTATGGGAGAAAAATTACAAATTAACAATATCAGCAGCCTACAAAGAAAACCTGTACAAAATGTTTTATCGTTGGCATTTACCCCTGGCAAGATTGGCCAACGTTTCCAAATAGATCAGCCAAATGTTGAGATGTAATTACAAAGAAGGAACATTCTTCCATATGTGGTGGTCTTGCCCAAAAGCTAGGAAATACTGGCTCAAAATAAATTGCTAGAAGAAATTATAAACAAAAAAAAATTGAGTTGAAACCGGAATTATTTTTATTGGGCATAACAAGAGAAAACATATAAAAAACTTCAATACATTATACTCCATATGATAACTGTGGTTAGAATTGCTTTTACTCAGAATTGGAAATAAGACAACACTCCTTCCGATGCAATGATAATTAAAAAGGTGCTTGAGTGTGCAGAGATGGACAGGTTAACTATGGAACTAAAAGATAGAGAAGAAACGGAATAGTATAAGATCTGGAACCTCAAGTCTCTTTGATTTGCGTTTGAAAGGTAACCAAACTGAAGAATTGGTTAATTTAAGGAGTGGAGATAACGGAAGCAGAAATGTCACCTCAAAGCATTTACAATATGGCAGCAGGAGAATTTGAGTGAAGAGAATTGAACTCTGCTTACAAACTTTTGGCTTGTAGAAAGGCTGTGAAGAATGAGCAGCTGTCCAATCCAACAATTTATAAGCGAGGTTGGTGGGTTAAAAATCAAAATAATTTAAACATGGCCAGGGTGCTCCAAAATGATATAATGTAGGCAAAAATTGTGGGGTGGAAATTTAAAAAGTTCTGGGGCCTGAACATTTATATCTGGCCATGGCAGCTCTCTTAATTTTTAATTTTTATTTTTTTAAGCAAGCCTCGCTGAATCTGAAGAAACTTCTGGGGATTCACATGACAAACAGTAATCAATTCTGAAGGAGGGGGAATCAGAAATAAAATGTCCTCTATACACATTAATTCTTTAAAGTTTACTCTGCCTTTCTTCTTCAGAGTATCTCAGGGTCCCTTGTACTGTCCTCTCTGTGAGGACAGTACAAGGCATCATTGAGTCTAATATATTTTCAGATATTATGTGCACCTAAAAGTGCCATTCATCCACCCCAAGATTTTTTTCATGATGCACGTTCCTGAATGAGCAAATACCAAGAACAAGTTAATCTAAAGTAGTTTTAAATAAGGTAACTTGCTTAGGAAGAGGACATTTACACATATTTTCCTTAAAACTATACGGAAACAAAATAATAGGACACATAGAGGTATTAGCAATGACAGTACTTAAGGCTCCATTCCTTTTAGGTTTACAGCAGCCAAGGGTCTTCTGTTGCATACAATGCACAGTGTTGTGTAAGGGGAGCAGTGGTGGGATTCAGCCTATTTGGGCAACCCGGTTGTTAAATTGCTGGCTGGCCCCACCCCTCCCTGCCCCTTCCAGGAATCCCCATACACCCCATTTTGGCTCCCAAGTAAGCTCAGGGAGGCCTACTAGGCCCAAAATGGGACGGGGGGTGCAGTGTGGCCCCCCTACAGCCCGTTTTTGCTCCCAGGGGGGTGCAGGAGGCCGAGTGCTGCCTGTCACACCCTCTGGCCATGCCCACCATGGCCATGCCCACCCAGCCGGTCATTAGGGCAGAGAACCGGTTTTTAAATTATTTGAATCCCACCACTGAATGGGAGGTCACATTATCTACTTGCAACTTCTGCGTATGGAAGTTGTTTTTTCTGTTTTTCCTTGTTTTTGAATACTATATATAAATGCCCTATATTCTGTATTCTAATAAGGAGACCATAATTCTATATGATCATTAAACTATTGCTACAACAACAAATATAATGATGACCTAAGACTTTTGCATACAAGTATTGTATGTCCAGGGATGGTGCGGTTTCAACCATTCAATACTGCAAAGGTTTGGAACTCTTCCAGTTTAGTCACATGATTCATAGGTGAAGCTTTGGGATTTGCCTCTTAAAAGAGATTAAATATAAAAATCTGAAGAGATTAGGCTACTGGCTCCAAGACCTCCAGTCCCATTGCTCTGTAGTTACAAAGCACGTGACACAACAAGGCTGGACAGGAGGTAGAGAGAAGGACTATGAGATTGATGGGGGACAGAAGTAGATGGGCCAGAAGTCAACATTTGGGTCATGGGGCTATAAAGATTTAATCTTGGAAGATTGTCCACAGGAACATCTCTGGTGATTATTTTAAAACGTGTATGTGTGAGTGTACACAATAACTCTTAGAAAAATTGACACTAATGCACAAATAAATCTGATTTACCGTACATCAACAAAAACAACTGCAGCTGTATTTCTGTAGTCATGACGATGCTGTGGATTTCAGTGACTACGAAATGTGACATTTTATATGCTGTGGTTTAAAAAAATAAAATATTTTAGATTTTTTTTTCTCCAAGAGCTTAGGGCCGTGATGGCGAACCTATGGCATGCATGCCACAGGTGGCACGCTTAGCCATATCAGTGGGGGCACGAGTTCAGCTCCGGTGCAGAAAAATGAGCCTACCAGCCCATCGTGTGCCAGGTGCAGGGGGAGTGGGGGGGTCACGTGTGCATGCGCGGGGTGGGGCACATAGAATTATGGTTGTGGGCATGCGCGTGCGTGATCCCCCCGCCCCCCGCCCCCCCATTCCGGCACGCGATGGCAAAAAGGTTAACCATCACTGGCTTAGGGCATATCATAACACTGCATCTAGGACTGAAGAAAAAAAAATCACCCAATGAGCTTCCATGGCTGAAAGCAGTCTTGAACCTGGCTATGCCACATTCTAATCCCATAATTTAGCCAGTACACCTTAGTTTGGTTCAAACAAAGCCTTTCTTTAATCTGGTCTTCAACCAAAATGTGTGGATTTCTATTCCTAGAATGCCTCAGCCAGCATGATTGTTGAGAATTCTGGGAATTCAAATCCAGACATCTGGAACATGGCAAAAAGCAACTGTAAAACCTGGGGTGATGGTCGAAGTTATGTGCTTCACAAGGTCTTGAGGGTTGAAGAGTTTGCTTCCCGCCCTGTAGACTTCAAAATGGGTTGTTTATGGAGCGTTCTCCAAAGAATCTACAGTCCCGCTACAAGGCCACATGGTGATTGGTGCCATTGGGGCCTCAGAGTTTTCCCTTCTGACAAGGTATCTAGGAGGCCCAATTCAACCAAGTGAGAGGCGCTTATGGTCAAATCAAGGGACAGGCATGCAGAGGGCTTGACCTTTGTGGAGCTTGAAACAAATTGGGCCATCTATAAATGATAGTAATTAGATCTTTCAAACCCTGAACCACGATTAAAAACCTTACTTTGCCAACAAAGTTAGGAAAACACATTAGAAGCTGGACAGCCTGCTGGCTTGCTTGCTTTCAATGGGAATACCCCCCCACATACATACATACATACATACATACATACATACATACATACATACATACAATTATTTAATCATCTTGAATTGCATTCCTTTCTCAAACTGCTTCCCGTTGCTTGTTACAAAAGCCTTCCCCCCGCCCCCCATACACACACATCAGTTGTTACCAACATTAAAAGGGCTAAATACAGTCTTTTCTCTTTTGCCTCCAAGGAACTATTGCTGCAAACTTCTTTTAACTCTAATAGAAGGTTACAGGCTAAATGAGTATGGATGGTCAACTAGCCAATTATTGTTTAGCTCTCCTTTGTTTACCGAGAGGTGTAAAACAAGGTTTTAGAGTTACAAAGGATCAGACTGCCTTAGCTACAATTTGAGCTTTATTCCATTATGCTTCTCCGAGGGAGGCCCAGCTGCTGTCGGACATAGGTGGAGGTGCCCAGCGCAACATGCCTTTCGCCTGTGTTGGTTTGCATTTGCTTTATTTCAAACGTGGCCTCTTGTTTACTTTTTGAAATTTACATGAATGTCAGCATTGTATAATTTCTATGTTAACAAAGCAGT